TAAAATAAATAATAATAAAATATAGGGTATTTATATGGGGGGAAAAAAACCCCAAGGTTTACTACCTCTACAGATATGAAATAAATGTTTAAATCTTCATCAGACATTCCTTAAGGCTTGAAATTATGTAGTCCATGGCTGTCCTATTTTATTGCTAAAAGGGTCTAATTCATGTTTATAAACAACCTAACATTTGGCTGTAAAATTATTGTTAACATGCAACAGCATGCACTTCAATCATATGCCAAATTAAAGAACATTCCTCTAGATGGCACCCTGTACAGCCAGTTCTTAGTCTTGAAAACAGTCCTACTGCACCCAGCAGCTGAACAACTGCCTATACACCCCATTCTGTGACTTCTTTGACGTGTTTAAATCACTTTCAATCTGTTTCCCAAAGCTGAGGGCTGGAATTCACTGTAAATGAAAGTTTTGTGATCATAAGTATTACTTTTATCACGTTGATTTTTCACCTTCGTACATTCTATATAACATAACCAAAATAACTACAGAATATAATCACTGTCATGATGGCAAGAGAATCACTAACAAAGTTTTAGTTGCAGAATACTTCTCTGGTACTACACACTAGGCCAGAAAGAGAGACATGTTTTCACATATAAAATAAACATGTATTGTTGAGTCTTTAAAACAGAATTGCACATAGCCTCCACACAGCCAAGCAGCTCAAAACAAAAGGTGTGAAACTACAGTCTCCACTGATAATCACCAGCTCTACTTTTCAGTGTAGTCATAATTAAATAAAACATTTAATAGTTAATTAAAAAAACTGCATAGAGAGACAGTACCTAGAAAAAAAATGAACTGATGCTATCTGTAAGTTAAAAATTTTATTTCTACTTAGAAGTGTTTTGCCTGGGGTTGTTTTACGTTATGTTTCATAATTATAACAAAGAACCAGCATTTATTGATCAATTAAGCTTCATTGTGCACATTTTACATGCCAGTACTCCTTGTAAACTGCTTGAGATTTTCTCCAACTGTTTGGGTCTTGACAGAATAAAAATAAAAAAAAAAAGTAAAAGGAACACTTCTACAATATCTTTTAAAAGTTAGAGTAACTAACTATCTTTCACAACAGTTGTAAGTACTATAATTTGCTAGTCAGGGTCTAGTACAACCAAGAAAATGTTTGCAAGCCAGAACTCAGTAAGAATCAATATATACTGTTATGTCTCATGCTACATTCCTTCTTCTGCACATGATGCATTTCTACTTTAGTGATTACTAAAGACCAGTGATCCAAAAGGGAAGGGAAGAGAAGATTGTACCAACAGCCTATGGAAACAAATTGTATAGTCTTACTAGTCCACAGTTGATGGAAATGCCTTCTTTTGCCCTTTCTCCTGTAGCTCCTGTTCGCTTTAACCTTTCAGATCCCGCTAGATCAACAAAATGGAATTTGGCAGTAAGAGTTTCAAATTCATTCATCTCAGAAGATTCAGATATTATCCTGTTATCGGTGGCATTATCCTGAAATGAAGAAGAACCCAAAAAACTTGGTAAGATCTTTCACATTAACATCTGTCTACTGCAAAGTTCAATCAGAGTACCCATTTGTAATGTTCATCTCCTTCCCTATTTACTCATTCTCTCACAACATTACCAGTATCTCTCAAAAAACTGTCTCCATTTTAGTCCTACCCACTAACATATCATTCTTGAAGATCCGGCTCTAGATGCACATGAATACCAATACACCAATTACTTCTACGTATGAGCTACAATTGTTTCAGGGCAAGGGAGAACATATATATAGTAAAAAATGCAAAACTCATCAGAAAGTTGGGCAACAAAATTTGTACCTCTCCTGGAATGCACTCTTTAAAACAGTTGTCAAAGGAAACCAATTTAAAAAAAAAAAGTATTGATAATATTACCATCCTAAATTACCAGCTCATAAACCTGCCAAATAACTGAAAGATATTTTGACTTTATACCTCTCTAATCCCCATCATCAGCTTCCCTGTGGCAAGATTCTTCAACTGTATTTTAGAAATTATTTTTAAGTCAGTTTTCTTCGCAGTCAGTATTCCACCAGCACTTCTTACTTCACCAGGAAATAAGGACAGCAGAGGGAATAAGGGAGAAAGAAGAGGTTCCTTTCCTTTTTTCCCCCACCAAGTACACAGCAATGACTGGCACTTGAGGCACACCTCCATCAGTGCAGTGAGCGTGTGCTACGGGCAGGTACCGTAGCCTCGTCCTCTTTCCACTTCACATCCCAAAGCACAGCAGTACAGTTATCCTTTTTCATTAAATAATCCCAACCTTTTTTCTGTCAATTAGTGTAGCTGTACCATATACTATGGAGAATTATTTAACTCTAAGCGTAGTTAGACCTGTTGTCATGAAATCAACAGTGAATGAAAAAAATCTTTAAATCACTCAGTTCCTGAACTTCCTGCTCAGATACCCATTGCAGGGCAATTTCTACTTGCCCCGGCAGCACCTAACAGGCATATATCGAGTGTATGCTGGACTTACATTCACATAGCCCAATCTGCAGGCTTTATTAGGAATATTCTATCACAGTAAGCATCGATAGTTTTGTTTTTTCTTTAAAAAAAACCTCATGTATTCTGTGGCAACAATCTTTATGTCTTTAGGTAGCCCACAGCTCCCTGCGCTATTGCAAGGGGTAATGTGTGTGGCTGCAGACCGAACTGTTCTCACAGCAGTTAAACACTTCAGGCTTCTTAAGTGATCTCCTGTTGTAGCAGTTTTAGAAGAGAACAGGAATTGTGCCACTTCCAGAGACTAGACTATCACACCTTTTTGGCTATTTTGACATTTACGTGGCTTGTGGATCACTACCAGCCCTCAAAGCAAGGATCAATGCATTCCTTCTCTCACACTTAGTAAATCAAATGTACATCCAGAAACTTCTGAGAAGCACAGGCGGCATGAATGCAGTGCGAGGAGCGGCATGCCTGTGCACTGCACGCCTGGCCACCTGCACCCCGGGCACTGGGACCATGCACAGAGAGACAGGCACAGAGCCGACAGCGTCATCCCAGGAACCAGTTACAAAGGTCTCCCAAAACTGCTGTCCGCAGATGGCAGCAACAACAGAAGCTTAAGTTGCATCTCTCCTGACCACCTATATAGGAGCTTGTATTAATTTATATTCCAGGAGCGTTCAGAGGCCAATGTCAGGTCTAATCTCCACTCTCCTAAATACTGCAGGGAAAGAAGAGGGTGCTGTCTTCAGATTCAGGATCTAGACACGTCCCACTGCAGATGGTCAAATTATCTTGCTCATACCTCCAAAAAAGAAGGAACAAAACACATTTTGACACAAAGCAGAAGGCAGCCACCTACTCCTCTTTGTAACACAAGTTTTTGTTAAAAACCAGGCAGGGCTAAAAAAAACAGGGTCCTACAGGTGGCTCAGCTGGTGGGGAAGGCTGCAAGTGCACCAGCACAGGTAGATTCCCGGACTGACAGCCTGCAGGAAATGAGGCTCTCAGATGAGTTCTCTCACTCCCCGGCTGCATAGACAGTTTTCAACAAAACCTCCAAGCAGACAGTGTCATCACGCAGTGACTCAGGTGCCCTATCAGGTCTCCAAGTGTGGTGCCAGTCCCTCCCGGGTGAGAAGACAGACAGCTGCCCACACAACCAGGTCCACAGTGTGGAAAGCAGGAAGAAGTGTTTTTAACAGGTGTATAAAGCAGGTCTACATACCATGAAAGACCAGTGAGCAACCCTCATTTTGCCTGCAAATTATTATTTGTAGTGTTAAAAAAAAGCAACTCCCCCAAAAAGCACCATAAATCCACATCACTGTTCCACATGCTTAAAAAATGCGATATCTATGTGTAAAATGCAATTCTTTAAAAATTTTGATATGTTTACAATCATCAGATTAAGCCCTCCTGAAGGTACTATAGTTTTCAGTAGCATGGATTTATTCAGAACTCTTCTCTTTACAAGATACACCAACAGCAACTAACACTAGTCACATGAAAACCTTCTACAGAACAGTTCCATGTACGTTCACAGTTTAAATTTCAGGTTAAGTGCATACACTTAACAACACATCTGAACACCAAATATACCTCTATTTAAAATAAATACACTAAGCTTCAGAATCAAATACTTTTCTACTTGCTCCTTGTTGGATATCAACCCTTAATCTGGAATATCCAAGCATTTTCAGTCAGCTGACTGCAGTCTTTAACTCACTAAGTACTACACTTAAAAATGCTTTCTCAATTAAAGACAAATTACATTTTAACTTTCTTACTCGTGCATGTTGCAATGAAATACTGAAGAAAATGCTAGAGGAGAATGGGCAGGTTCATGTAAGAGGCTGCAGTTTATTGTTGCCTCTGGCTAAATGATGGTTACATATGCACAGATTAAATCAAATTATTATAATGCTTAGCAAATTCATCGAGCATGATGATGACTGTAGCATCTTTACTAAGTGCAATTCAAATAGCAGTGGCTGCCAAAACAATATTCACATTTTGAAAAATGGTTACTAAAGTGAAGTTTAACAACAGCAAGGATACGTACAGTGTTAAACGCAGGACAAACTCTGGTTTGACATAAGTGTATAGTAAAGATAGCATGTGATCGTGAGCTCTGAACGTTCATCTGAGTGCTGGCAGTGGTTCGAGACAAAGCCCCCAGCTTCAAGCACTGCATCATCTAGAAGACAGACAAGAAGTATATTGCATTGCTTGCAGTTTAAATAAAAAGTCTTCCTATAACACTTATTGTTTTGGATATAAATAAGCTTTTTCTCTTTGCAGTGATTTCAGTTCCTATATGCCAAAAGCACAAAGATTCTTAAATAAGCAAACTAAAAGTATCTTTTGTGGTTTCTGAAATAAAAAACACTTAAATCTTTGTACCCCTCTTTTTACTGTCCCCTGGTAGTAACATAGTAATCTTCCTTCCATTCACCTGTGGCAAAAATGTACAATTTCTGTACCTTTTGTACAAAAATGTACAGTACAAAACATTTGTATTCAGATTTGCAATGCACACAAACAGCAGTTCACCTCACATTAGTCATCATGCAAAGTCATCATGCAAAGCTTTCCTGTCACAGGTAAAAGATTTGGGAGATCAGATTTACACACATGTCAAAATTTTCTCTCCCAGCAGAACTATATTGTTAGCAAAAGTCTGTTTCTAGCATTAAGTGAAAGTGGTATACACTTAATAGAAAACATTTATCAGATTTGAATCTACAGAAACTGAAGAAAATAAATATTTCAGCTAAATTTTACAACTAAATCGTCTAAGATGCAGATGTTAGCACTTAAAAATAGAGGTTATGCTTGCTTATCACAACACACAAACAACATATTTAGAATGCGCTTGGTATACTGTGGAGTAATTTATTTTCAATGATCACCTCTGATTCGCCATTCACAGTTCGGGTCGTAACACCCACTGTATAAATTCCTCCCGCTGAATCTTCATGTATTTTAATATTTGATTTTTTATTCTTTGCATCAATATCACGTGTGGTATCAAACAGATCAAGAATTTCTTCATTGTAAAGCTGAAGAGGAAAAAAAAAAAAAGCAAAAAATTATATTACTTTAGGAAGGAATTCCTCCAAAGACTAACAAGTTTGTGCAAGGCACATGCAGGAAGTTCTAAAAATCCAAATGCTAAGGCTCTCAAAAAAAAAAAAAAAAAGGATGCTGCAAAACATCCAAGCTTACAAGGACAACAGGATGATACAGCAGCCACAAATTAAGTCACCTGCACACCTTACTATTATGATGCCTAAAGAAGCGATAACTTCCACCACATCATCAGACCTGGGAGAAAATTCTATGGTGGGACCAGGCAAAGGGAGGCACTCGATGCCAGCAGAACAACGGCGGCAGTGGTTTCTGTGGCAGGCACCCCTGCCTTCAGGTTTGACCTTGGACTTTTCTTTTCTTTTGTTGATTCAGTTGGCTGCACCGTCCTCCAAACACTTCAAACTCACTCCACTTGCTCTCCCTGCCATCATACCTTTTCTCATCTCTCTCACACCTTAGTAGTTTTATGTCTCTTTCATTTAGATAAACCGTTCCTGTTCTGGAAGGAATTTAACATATAATAGTTTTTGTGCAAGCTGATTATTAAAGACACCAACCAGCAGGCCAAACATACTATGACATGGTTTCTTGAGCAGAGCTTTTGTATTTTCCTCCATACAATATCTACACTTGTTACTAAATCTGGGGCACCAAATTTTCAGGCACAATCATATGAGCAACAGCAACTATTTACTATGTGTTTCAGGCTGCCTCCTATTTACTGCCTGTTTCACCGGGTCTCCTGAAGGTAAGTACATGTACATTTAGTGGTCTTTCAACTCAGTATCATTAAGCACATTGGACTTTTAGGTCAGTCAATGATATCAGAACCAAAGACATCAGAAATTCCTGTGCAGTTTTCAGTGTTAGAGGAGATAGATTATAATTTCATAAGAACATTCTGGGGTTTAGGAAAGGTGGTTAGATCCAACTGAAGATATCAGGGCAGACAAAAAACAACAAAGAAACAAAAAACCCACCCAGAAAAAACAGCATCCCACTGGGAATCTCATGGCTCAGATCTCTGCTGATGTACACTAGAACAGTTACAAAGTCTTCAATTTGGTTATACCAATTCATTTCAGCAGAGCTTAGGTCTGATTAAATCTCTGATCAAAGTCCCTAGGTAAAAGCCAAAGGCCCAGTGCAATAGTACATTGGGTGAATACACACCTTTCTTACACACTGAAAGCAAGAGGTCATCTCCTCTCACGAGTGAAAATCCTTCCCTGAGAAGAGGCTCAGCATTTCTGAATGTGGTGCTTTTAATTCTTTACATATCAAAAAGGAATTATATTTAATTATTAGGGATAAATATTCTAAGTAGCAGCCTTCTTACTAATGTTTTACCTTGCTAAGTGCAAACAAACATGCCACAATTTAGAGAGGATCCTGATAACGCACCTACAATTCCATGGGACTGCATATGCCTCTCTTTCAGAAAAGTTAGCAAGAAAGCAAGGAGTTACCAGAAGCAGACTGCAGCAAACTAAAGAAAAGCAAGAACGTATCAAACAGAAGTCGCTGTTCCCAAAAGTTACCCAGCTGTCAGCCTTTAAAGTTACTCCAGAATAAAACATTGCTTCAATGAATACATTATCATTTATGTAATCCAGTTCTAATAGTAGATAGGGTGGGAGGAAGAGGATAGTTTCTGATACAAGACAGTATAGCATGCAACTAATCAGAAAAAGCTCTTTCTGGGAAAGCTCCAATTTAGCCACAGTACAATGAAAAAATTACCAAAAAGTGATATTTTGTTAAGGGAAAAACTATTACATACATCATTTAACCTTTCTCTAAATTAGATAAAACAAGAAGGGTTTTAGTATGTACATTTCATCTGAAATATGTTGCAACATCCGCAATTCCACATACTATTATGACAACTTTCTCCTCCAAGTGATAGAAGAGCCCAGGAGGAGAGGTGCCATGCTGGACCTTATTCTCACAAATAAGGAGGGCCTTGTAGGGGACATCAAGCTCAAGGGCAGCCTTGGCTGCAGTGACCACGAAATGGTGGAATTCAGGATCCTCAGGGCAGCAAGGAGGGCGCGCAGCAAGCTCACTACTACCCTGGACGTCAGGAGCGCAGACTTTGGCCTCTTCAGAGATCTGCTTGGTAGAATACCATGGGACAAAGCCCTGGAAGGAAGAGGGGCCCAAGACAGCTGGCTAATATTCAAGGATCACCTCCTCCAAGCCCAGCAGCGATGAATCCCAACAAAGAGCAAGTCAAGCAAAAACA